ACGATCCTTCGGGGCCAAATCGGTAAACGCACGTCAAGCTAAATGACGGTTCCGTATAGGATACAGGTTCGAATCCTGTCGGAGGACGAATATTATCTGTGAAAATTTCTCGGACATTCAGGCCAGTAAATGTTGTTTAATACAGTTTATTACAAACAGAGCATTTACTTAAATATTTGTATCTATAAAAATAATGTTAAGCATAAAAATGTCTTAAAATAATTGTCGGACTTTGTCCATTTCATAATATATATATATAACGTTGTATAGATATTAGTTGATAACTCTGGGTTTTTTTTTTCTAAGAGCTTTCACTGCTACATTTCTATTTCTGACACGAACTCGGTCCACATCGAGGTTGATAAGACAGACGACTTATATATTCGTCTGCCTAAATAGGGTATCCCCCATATGAGGTGATTTTGAATTTTATTGTGCATTAAGTATTTCTGTGTAATCTTATTTATTATAAAACGCAGATTGTGTGTGTGTGTGTCTGTAACGTTTATATATTGGATCAGATTTCCTACATTTTTCAACCGATTTCAACAAAACTTCACATGACTACATGAAATTGTGGTGGTTCTAACAGCGCCAAAAATGGGAAAAATATAATTGTTTTTGCACAAAATCAATTTGAAAATACGATTAAGAGACATCGTGAAAATGGAAGGGGGACAACTCACATCGGGTTGTTTGTGTGTGTGGGTTCCTTTAAATATGGGATCGGATTTCCTATATTTTTCAGCCGATAAAACAAAACTTCACTTTTTTTTTTTTTTTTTTTGGCAGGTAGTGTTTCTTATTCTCTTGCACACTTTTTTCTTTATTTTTAACATTCAGAATGCTTTAAAAATTCCATTTACAAGACAATTGTTTATAATAAAATTCTATGCAATCGGTAGAGACTCATAACGATTGAAAACAATGTTTTTGTTTGAGTTTGGGTTTGACCAATTCGTAAAAAAAAAAAAATAAATAAAAACTAATTAAGACATGCGTGTCCGTCAACCTTAAACAATAATCTAACGATCTCTACTGATTGTACGAATACAAACATCGGAATAAAGTCTTTATCTTTAGGGAAAGATAATGAAATCTAAACATCCACAAGACCTAACTAAAAATAATAACCGGAACGGGAAACTACTTTAAATACACATGGTGTCCAATTTTTTTACTGTATTCAATAAGTAAAAATCATAAATTGTAAAAGATTATTATTTCAGAAAGGCTACTAAATGAATAAGATTTGTTAGATCATAATTAATAAACCCAAATAAAGTTAATATTTTTTGTATTAGAAACAACGAGTGGAAAATATATTCAAATCAGAATTCTAATTATGAATCACCACAAGCAAAATATGCAATTTTTTTTACTGTATTCAATAAGTAAAATCATAAATTGCAAAACTCAAAAAGATTACAGAAAGGCTACCTACATTTTTCAACCAATTTCAACAAAACTTCACTTTTTTTTTTGGCATATAGTGTTTCTTATTGTCTTGCACACTTTTTCTTTATTTTTACATTCACAATGCTTTAAAAATTCCATTTACAAGACAATTGTTTATAATAAAATTCTATTCAATCGGTAGAGACTCATAACGATTGAAAACAATGTTTTGTTTGAGTTTGGGTTTGACCAATTCGTAAAAAAAAAAAAAAAAAAAAAATTAAGACATGCGTGTCCGTCAACCTTAAACAATAATCTTTGTCAATTTTATTTTTCAGTCTTTATGATAGTGGATACTTGATCTATCTCTTACTGTTATATCCCCGGGCAACGCCGGGCTCTACTGCTAGTAACAAATATAATGGGCTATTTTTGTGGATCAGTTTTAATATTTTTATTTTACCAGGATCCACTTGGATTATATACCACCGGATTTACCTTTACTATATATATATATATATATATATATATATATATATATATATATATCAGAGAGGTAATTTATGAGAGAGTGGGATTTGTTTGTCTAAAAAAATACCTCTTGTATTCTCTCTTTCTCTCTCTCTCTCTCTCTCTTTCTTTCTCCCTCTTGCCTGATATTAAGTGAAAATGCCTTAATTAGAGAAACGCATACAAATTTACACAAAAGGGTTCATCTTATCAGCAGGTGTGCACTATCTTAGTCACATATCTAAATCTGCGAACGTATTGCATGAATAAATAACCGGGCGATTAACGTCTAATCTCAGTATTACATCGTCCATTACCTTGATACGTTAATCCCACAAAACATTAAATTTAAATAAAAATAGACATAGCTGTTGAATGCAAATGTACACATGAATCTATTTTTAATATTAAACTTCACCCAACAAAGGCACAAGAACTACTCAAGGTAGAGACTAACTGTTTTCTGTTGTATCAGCTGAAGACAATTTACGAGGTGATATAGGAATTATAACGGTTGATCGTAGACTTGAAGTGATCGGGAAAACATACTGCTGGGTGTCTGTTCCACAAAGCAGCAGTGTCCAAGGGAAAA